GCTGATATTCAGAACATAATATTTTACTCTAGAACCATAACAACACTCATAAAGGATCTATTAATATTCAAAAAGTCAGTGTTTTTTGTTCTGTAATTGGCTGCAATAAATAATTCAGGTAAGTCGTCTGTTAAATCCTTAATTCCGCCTTTTGAGGCATGCAGTCTCAACGGGTCTGTCAAATAGACGCACGTTATATAAGGTTTTAAAGTAAAATATTAATGACCTAAGTAGACATATGAGAAATGTATAGAGACAAACACTGAATATAGACAGAATAACTAGACATAAATAGTCTTACATATACACACGTGCAAGAGAGATATACAAATATGTCCTATTAAAAACGTAATATACTGTACTTACTTTTCTGTCATAGCGTCCTTGTATCGCTGAGAAAAAAATCTGTCTACAACCTGCTGCAGCTGATACTCGGGATTTCCGTGTGGTACGCCACTCCCTCGGGCCTTCTCTCCATCAAAATCTCCAAACTCTATCTGCATAAACAACGTGTAAAACTCAGATACCAACAGAAAACGCTTTGCTACCGAAAAACCCCATGTCATAAAAGAATAATTTTGAATTCTTATAAAATCTCAATGTTAATAAAACATGTCAGATAAAAATTTCGATATTACCTTTACAAAGTTGAGATTATTTACTTATGATTACATACAATTTTAGAAATAACTACGTAAATGGTGATGAAAAAAGGGGTATAAAAAGGAAAATACTTCAAGACTGTTACAACTTTATTTTGTGACAATAAATTACATAGGAGTACAGTCATGCGTTGATAGTTTTTATTGTGATTGGTTGCCATGCAACCAATCAGAAACTGACACATCAGTACAAAGTTTTGGCTGATTAAAGCTATCTAATGCAAAAATATTTCAGCAATAATCCATGTTTCAGTAGATGTAAGCAAGACTCTGAAGAAGATACGTTAAAATGGACCTGATAATAAAAGAAGTGGTCGAGGAATAAAACTGAAACGCTCCAAACGTGATGTTCAGTATCTCAGGGTATGATATTTACTAGACAAACGATGGTTGAGTAGTGATATTTCCAACGATCTCGCTGTAAACACAGCTGTGAACGTTGCCTAGAGAACAATAAGATACGGTTTCACACCAAGTGGTCTCAACTGATGGGGCTGCTCGAAAACCGTTGCCGAGAAGAGATAATCAAACCAAAATGTTTAAAATGGGCATCGTATTTTAAACAATGGAGTAAGAAAAGTTACATATGGTCTTTACAGATGAATTCAAATTAGAATTTGATTGTTTGGCAACAATCAACGACAGTATGTTCGATGAGGGAGAAGAAAACGTCAATGTACAAAATCTACAGTGAAGTAGGTGGAGGATCAATACAAGTTTGGGACTGCATCTCAGCCAACGATGACACCTTGACTGCTGATAAGTACGGGCAGATTTTGATTAATCATGCCGTTCCCAAGGAACACGGCTGATTGGACGGGGATTCATCTCCCCAACCATACAGTAAATGTAGTAAAACGATATCTTGACGGTAAAGAGGCCGATGAAATAGTCACAGTTATGGCTTGGCTAGCACAAAGCCCTGATATTAACATTACTGGGGCTGTTTGGGCTTAAATAAAAAACTCGGAAGATTGAAAGGAGACCAAACAACTTAGCTGAACTGTGTGGTGTAGAACAATGTTTCACAATTGTATACTGATTAACTGCATGTCAACATGAAAACAAGGAGTAAATTCTGTGTGGGGATAAAACAAATGACTCACACAAAATATGACTGTGCTGTACAACTAATTCACTTGTATTTTTATATTTTCTATAATAATAAATTCGCCATGTAGTTGCCATAACATAACTGTATGTGTATCGTCTGCATGTTTCCATAATTAGTTCCACTACTGTATATTGAAATGGAGGTAATTTAGAATATTTTAAAACAAATTGTATAGGTATCCTTCGATTTACGAAAACAGGTACATCGAGAATTATTTTCCCATTATTTTAAAGGTAAAAAATTGGAGATGCGTTCCTAACACAAAACGTAACATTTTCTTCCACTATAAAAAAGACTGTTACTATAAACACAAATAAAAAGCATTTTCATTAAAAAAAATACAAAAGTGGTGTACTGAAGTTGCCAATAAGTAGTTGTTGCTTTGCTTGTCGAGGTGATGAGAGAAGTGAGAGGATACCGCGGTTACTGGCGATCTTCAGAGGGCAAAAGTTTCTTACATTACGTAAATTTTCGTTATACCGAAAAATGCCGAACGCAAGTCGAAAAACGTGGCCATAAAAGTTAATTACGTTATAGCGAAAAAACGTAAACCTAACGATCGTAAATCAAAAGATACCTGTATTTGGACAGTTTGTTTGTTTTTTGAATTTCGCGCAAAGCTACACGAGGGCTATCTGCGCTAGCCGTTCCTAATTTAGCAGTGTAAGACTACAGGGAAGGCAGCTAGTCATCACCACCCACCACCAACTGTTGGGCTACTATTTTACCAACGAATAGTGAGATTAACTATCACATCATAACGCCTCCACGGATGAAAGGGAGAGCATGTTTGGTGTGAAAGGGATTCGAACCCGCGACCCTCAGATTGCGAGTCAAGAGCCCTAACCACGTGGCCATGTCGGGCCTATTGTACTTGGATAAGTGTAAAACATTTCAAAACAAAACAAAAATGTTTACTATGAAGGTCTGAATTCACAATAACGAAACCGGCATCATTTATAAATTCGCTACAATTAAAACTATCTTTATCTTATTAGTCAGATCTTGTTATAAAAATATATATCTGGATGAGTAATACTTGTCTCAATTACTTTTCGAAACCTAATGCAACGGTGACAACCTAAACCTAACAACGATATACATATCATAGCTCTCATTTTTTTCACTTATAAAGAAATACATATCAATCACTTTAGCAAAAAAATTGAAAACTTACACACTTCAGTTAGTAGTCTAACACAAAAACAGGGGGACGTTACCAAAGGTAGGTAATATATCTATTTCACAGAAAGTTCTTAGCTTAATTAATACAGGGGAAGTCAATTTTGTTTCATTCACGCGTCTGACAAAGCTGGCTATACGTACGTAACTACAGTGGGTTTGTTTGTTTTTGAATTTCGCGCAAAGCTACACGAG